CAGGTAGAATAAAATCAGAATGAGATTCCCATGTCTGATCTTTTTCTCATAGATCTTAGAGCTAAGTATGGCCCATCTTTGACTTTGGAACTTCTCTAAGTATCTGTAAGAAGCAAAAAACCTGCTATCCCAAATAGCTGAACATGGCTAAAGGTGCATTTGCCAGTTCTCCAGGAAGCTCTAATGCAAATCACTGCCTTCCCAGAGTGGGTGCTCAAAGGCAAGTATGCAACAACTTACTTAGAGATACAGAACTAACAGTAAACAGAACAATAATTAAAAGGGAATGTATTTTCTCAGTCATCTGCTGAATACACTTATCTACTGATGCTCCCAGGCTCCAGCTGTTGGATATCAGAGAGTAACAGCCTGTGGGTGGTTCTTGCCATGGGACCTAGGTGTAATGTAGTATCATAAAACTCTAGCAATTCAAATCAATAATAAAAAGCCCTGTTGCAGTGGGAGTTCCTTAATGCTGAGATGTTTGTATAAATGGGTCTGATGAGGGTGGACAGGGGAGTGGCTTCACCTGCAGATGCAGGAGGCATTAACCTGAGACTGTGGGAGGTGACATGTCTATGGGGTTATTCTACAGTAGGTCATATTTCTGGTTCTTGTTCTCAGTTGTTTATTGCCAACTTATTGGCAATATTGGTTGTTGGTTATCTCAATTATGCCTTGGTCACATACAAGGGCATGCTCCTAGTTTGTGTTTGTGATTGGACTTTTTCCCTCAGATACCCCCATGTATTGTTATGTTCGACACACCCCCAGGTCTTTGGATAATGACTCTCAGGTCATGTGGTTTCTAAGTTTGTTATTTTATCCATTAAAGGTCTTTATTTTTCAGGCAACTCCATCATTCCCGTCTGTCCTAGGGTGACGTTATGGTGTTTGTATCTCCAATCGTGTGTTCTGTTTGTGCTTGGTATTATGTTCTGTGCCTTCAGGACTGATTTTGAAAACGAAGGTTTGTTCTGTCTCGTTATCAGCCAGCTCACCTCCCCCGTGGTCTGTGTTTAGGAGAGGATGGCTGGTTTGGCTTGCTTGCTTGCTTGCTCACTCGCTTCTGCTTCTCTTTTTTCCTTTGCTTTCCCCTTGCTTTTGCTTATTAGTTAGTTCAGCTAGGCAGTCTAATTTTTTCTCTGGACTGTTTTTTTTCCTCTCCCTCTCCTGGATACCATCTGAACCTGTTCTGGACGGGGACCTGGGAAACACCAAGAAACACCGGGAGTCTGCATTCTGTCACCTGCAGCAGTCATTCCCCAGCGCCAGAGACTGATAACTGGGCGAGCACTCACAGGACAGACTCTCTGAGTTTGTCATCCCTTCAGAACGGTGAAAGAGTTTTTTGTCAGCTGGTGTTGTTCATTATTTTGTGCTGGGGAGTGGTCTCGCTTTTTAAATAAACAGGCTTTTTTCCACTCCTCTCTGAGGAAATTCTTCCCGAACCCGGTGGTTGGGGGGAGGAGTCGTGGGGGTTTGCTGTCTGGCGGCTCCTTCCAGAGGTTTTCCCCCAAAATTTGCCCTAAACCAGGACACCATCCCTCTGTTTTTGTCACGGACCTCCCGAGCTGGGCCGACCCTGGTATTGCTGCCTCCCTGGTGGCCAAAGGATGTCTCCTCCAGCCTGGGGTCAGTGTTTGATGCCACTCCAGCACTGCTGCAGAGAGCACACTTAGCCAGCTCCTTACATGAAAAATAATTCCCTCATCTTCAGCAAAGCCTCTCTGATTTATGCTGATAAGGGTCTGGCTCCCTGTCCTGTCAGCTCTGCAGAATTGTTTTCTACCTTGCCTGGAAGCAGGTGAAAGAAATTCCAGCACTGTCATCCCGGATGAATTTTTCACCTGTAATGGATGGCTTTTGAAATTGTCCCAAACAAGACATCTTTTCATAGGAAAAGAAGTGCCAAAACAAAGCATCAATAATATTTCATCTAGCAATAGAGAAGGTAATACATCAGAAGAGCTGCCTGAAAAAGGCTGCACAGTAGAAGGAAATTTTTGAGACTAAATCAAGGGGAAAAACAAGGTAGGGGAAAAATAATTAACACAGTGTGGAGTGTATAGAGTGATTATGTATAGCAGTATCAGCACATTCACAAACCATTGTAAAATGGCTATCAGCTGTCCATAATTACTTTAGAGACACACATGTTAAATAGTAAAGGAAACCATCTAATAGAGGCACCTCTCATTTTCATTGCTTCGTGGTGATTAGAGAAGCAAGCCCTGATACTTATTTTGTTGCTCCTTTCTGTATTTTTAGGTGCATACAAAGAATACATGTGGAAAGAGCAGAAAAATCTTGTTTACCTGCATCACTGCTTTCCTCTCTGCTCCAAGAGGAGGGGCCAAGAGAATGGGTATGTGAATTGGGAGTGTGCTTGCTGGCAACAGAAAACAAAATGATGGATTTCTCTACTGCAATATCTTATTTTCATTTACTTTTATTTTCCTTAAGGAATAAAAACCCACCATGCATTGTATTCTGTATTAAGCCAGGATAAAAATTCAGTCCTTGGTCCAAGTTTGTAATCATAAATCCAGGAGGTAGCTCCCTGCATTTTAGGAGAATGAACTCAATTATGTCCATGTAATAGTTTTGGAGCAATAAGCAGTGTAGTCAATCCTGTGATAATTACTGGTAAAGCACAACAGTTGCAACAGCCTCCAAGTCGTTTCCCACTGGCAGATTGGGAAATTGGCATTTTCTGGATGCCAACAAATACAAGAGAAGGTATGTGCTTTTTTTAAATGTATATCCTTGGAGAGACTTTACCAATTTATCAACCCATATATGCAATTGCTATCTAAATACTTCCTGTTGTTTCCACTGTAGTTATGTGCCTTTTTTTTTTTTTTTTTTTTTTTAAATCCCTGAATAGAAGGAAAGGGATGCAGAGAAGACAGTCTGACATTTGTGTTCACTTTGGACCAGGGAGCAGAGACAAAAATAGCACTTCGTGATTTCAGCATTTGTTTTCATGGGAAGATTTATTCTGTACTACAGAAGACTCTAAATTCTTCACTCTCCCTGGCTGCACTGAGTAAGTAATCAAATACTCCTGTGGTCCAACTTTGGCTAATGAGAAGCTTGTAAAGATTCTTGTGGGTAATCTGCAGGTTGGCAGCACAGCACAGATACAGTGCTACACACTGCTGTACCCAAACACTAAATATGGGTGTTATGAGTGTGTTAACTATAATAATAAGCTGTATTTTCTTGATTGCATTTTCCCTGTAAGGATTTGAAAAAGGTTTGCTGATGTTTGGAAGTTAAGTTTTGCGGCACCTGTGCTGAGAAGGAATTAGTAGGGATAAATGGATATGAAGGGCAGAATTCTAAACTCATTTAGACATCTCAGTAGGCTTGCAAAATCCTACTGACACTGGTGCTTTTATTTAGTCAGCTAAGTGTTATTAAAACGTGTCCCCCTCTCCATATTGTAGCATTTCTTGTAGCTGCAGAGACACTTATTTTTACACTTGATTTTCATTCTTATGGCTTTCTGTGCTCTCAAAGAAGTGAATTATTTCTATTATTAAAAATAATACATATTAAATCTCTTCAGGGGGATTATCCTTAGCAAAGACTGGTGACCGTGGCTTTAGGATTTCAAGTGACAAATTTCAAGATACTGTAAATATTGTCTCACATTGGCAAGATAAGTTCCTTTCCCTGCTTGTTATGAGGACTTTTGCACAGAGCTCGAACAACACTGTTTTGTAATAAATGTTTTATTTTCTACTCATCAATTTTCCAAGCCCTGTCAGTAGCTCTTCAGATAGTCACATTTTTCTTTTGATTTTTTTCAGTTTCGGTGGATGTATCTAAGTCTTCTACTCATTTGCAGGAGACGTCTTCTCCTGACTCTGTTGACAGATTCAATACTCATTCACTCCTTTCTGCAGGACCATTGTGCAAAGTACTTTTGTCTATAGTGCAAGTCTAGAACCCACTGTCTCTTCCCACACTGAGATGATCCATTTTCAATGCAACATCTGTCACTTTGTGAGACCCTTTTTGGTAACATTCCCAGTTCCTCCTGTGGGCAGGGGCCACCTCTCCTCCCCAGACAGCATATGTGCAGACTGAGAAAATTGTCTTGGCACAGCAGAACCTTTTTTCTCTGTTCTTTGTGTTTGTTTTTCACGCTCTGGCAACAAGGTGCTGTGATAGGTGACTGATGGGCAGCTGCTATTTGTGAGCACATGGCAGTTTATTTCCTTTCTGGAAGTGTCTGCATGGCCTTCCCTTGACACCTGCAGTGCACCAGGGACAAACATAAACCAGAGCTTCAAGGTTGGGAAAGTCACTGTTGAGTTGTCAGGTGATGGGTCTTACAAAAAAGGAAACTATTGGTTCACCTTTAAGGGAACTGGGAAAAGGACAGAGCAGAAAGACACAATTTTCTGGACGACAACTGGGTGAAATCATTGCAAGATGAACAAGGCACTGTCTATGCCTCTTGAGTGATGTTGAGGCAAAAGATGATCAGTTCAGGCAAAAGACACAGTGAGTTTGAGCAAGTTCCTTCAGAGACTTGGGAGAAAAGCCATCCATGGGCCCCAGCACTGATGGGAGATGAAAAGAGGATTAGTCACCATCCCTGAAGGGATTTAAAAGACCTACAGATGTGACACTTACAGACACAGTTTAGTGGTGGACTTGGCAGTGCTCTGTTAGTGGTTGCATTCATTGATCATAGAGATCTTTGCCAACATAAATTATTCTAGGATGAAAGGATTTTATTTTTGCTCTGTGGCTGGTCTGGATCAGAGGGAATGCTGTGATCAAGGACCAATCCCCACTGTCAGCATGGACCTGTCCCTCAGGCACTGGGAGGTTCATGGCACTGTGCCTTCCCCAACATCACCACTGTAGAAAGTAGTGGGACTGCAGTGACAGGGTCAGTTTGGGCTGCCAGGGTCTGTGTGCTTTCATATATTGTTATTTTAAATGTCAGGTTAGATATCATTTGTGTGAAGCATCAGCAAGTCCTTGGTATTAATAGCTGGGATAATGGTATGTGGCAGTATATAATTTTTATTCCATGTGTTGATTATTATCTGACTGAACTGCCAGTCAACATGGAAATCAGTCTAAGTTCTAGAGCTCCAGCTGTCCTGTGACCATTATGAATATGAAAGGGAGAAATAGAAACCTATTAAGTGAAATAGAAGATACAGTTTCAACAGTAACGTTTTAAAAAACGTAGCTAAAAAGCTATGAAAGAGTACACTCAATTAGCTTCTCCCAAAGCATGGACCAGGAAGGGCTCTTCTCTTTTGTACTGTCCTGATAAACCCTGCCCTGGTCATCACTGCCTGGTCTGAGCAGCCAAACCCACTGACTGCAGACATTTTGTCTTTCAGGGATACTCCTGCCTACTGCCCTTCTGTCTGAGTTCCAGAGCTGCTCTGTTCCCAGCAGCAGAAAATTGCAAAGCTTTTGGTTCCCAAAAATCACAGAATCATAGACTGGTTTGAGTGGAAAGGGGTCTTTCAAGGACACCTGGTCCAACTGCCCCACAAAGAGCAGGACCATATTCAATCAGAACAGCTTGCTCGGAGCCTTGGATGCTTCCAGGGATGACTGAACACTTTCAGGGATGGGTCATCCACCACTCCTCTGGGAAACATCTGCCAGTGATTTTCCGCCTTTTGTAAAAACCTTCTCTCTGCGTTCTCTTCTGAGCTTGGGTGGAGCTAATGGGATGGAAGGGCAAGTCCCAAGAGCCTGGCTCCTTCTGAAGAGGCATTAGTGAGAATAACAGTAGGGTAGAGGAAGGGCTAAATGTACTGTATGCAAAATAAAACCAAATTACATCGATTATGTCCAGATATGACGTGCAGATACAACTCTGTCAACCCCTCATCCCTCCTGCACCATGTTTCACCCTAAGTAAGGAACTCAGCAATTTTGCCACAAAGGCATTCTTTTGAAACTAGAATATGATGATTTTAAACCAAGAGTACTCACCAAGAACAGCCACTGCCACCCACAATTACCTGCAGTGGAGAGGGTAAAGTGCAATTCACTGCAGTGTTCTTTCCAAGCCTGAGTTAGCTGCATCCCCCATAAATGATGCAGTGGGTGATGGCCAGGCTAAGATGCTTTGGGTAAGTGACTTTCTGGAGAGGTTCATACAAACAGCAGAGTCAAGTACTCTGATCTCTGCACTTTCAGAAAAGAAACCATCTTTATTGGTTTCACAGCTTGAAGAGTCACTGCAAACCTTCCAGCCCCATGCTGAATCATTTCTTTCCAGGACAACTTTGTTTTGAAGTGCAGTTTAGAATGAGCAAAGTGCTCACCCACTGCCAGAGAGAGATGGGAAGAGCTAGCAGTGAGTTCTGCCACAGGAAATATAATTTTCCAGTGTAAGATTAGTAAAAAATGGTGAGTAGGAAGATGGATCTCCAAACAAACCTGTAGAAAAATTAACTTCACTGGGCAGGAGTGGCAGGTGGATAAGGATCAGGTAAAGTTAAAGAGGTAATGACAAAAATGGATGATGGATATCCCAACAATTTAAAGGCTATACTGATCAGTATTTCACCTATATATATTCCCATTTTGGGATCATTACTTTTGGTCAACAGGTGCAGCGTGTCACAGACCAAATTTATCAAAAAGACATAGAAGAATACGAAGTCTTAATCTTGCTGTCAAAAGGCGATTGTTGGGTCTCACTTTAGTATATAATCCATTGTGAACGATTACCACTAAGAAGCTGAGACTTTTTCAAAAAATGAATCATCTGATTCTGTGTTGAACATTGTCCACACTTCAGTGAATCTGTAGAATACTACTGTGACTGAGTGCAGGGAGTTAAGTTGCAGTAATTTCTGTACAGGAAATCCTCCTGGCTGTACAGGAGTAAATGATACAAACCAACATGAAGGTAAGCCCAAGACTAATTTCCCTGCTTCTTGCTGTAACAGTGAGGAACTTGTGCTTTGGAGAGGGTTTGTTGTTTGGCTCTTAAGTTTAGTAAATTTCTCCCAGCTAAGAAATCACACGTTCTAAAATCTGCAAGTTCTTGGCCAAAAGGAATGGATAAAGAAGAGGGGATGCATGTGGTAGATGCATTAAAAGTGAGGCAACTCAGGAAAATGAAGATCTGGACTCAGCAGAGCTTACCCCGCAAAGGCCACACGCTTGCAAGTGGTGTTCTGCTTCTGCTCACTTTCTGATGGCATAAAGGACCTTTGAGTGACTTTTTAGATTCACAAAATCCTAGAATAATGTAGTTTTGAAGAGACCTTATAGACCATCTAATTTCAACCCCCTGCTGTGGGCCAACCACCAGACTGGGTTTCTCCAAGCCCTGTCCCACCCAGCTTTGGACACTTCCAGGGGTGGGGCAGCCACTGCTTCTCTAGGCAACTTCTGTTGGGGCCTCACCACCTAAATGTTTACATTCTTCCTTTTATCAGTTAAATTTACCTCTTTCAGCTTAAAGCCACTCCTCCTTATCTTGTCACTCCACCCCTCGTCCAAATTCCTCTCCAGCTCTCTTGGAGTTAGGCACTGGAAGGGGCTCTAAGGTCTCCCTGGAGCCTTCTCATCTCCAGGTGAAAACCCCCAGCTCTCCCAGCCTGGCTCCAGAGCAGAGAGGCCCTCTGATCACCTTTGTGGTGTCCTCAGGATTTCCTCCAACGGTGCCACATCCTTCTTATGCTGAGGATCCTGGAGCTGGATGCACCTCTGCAGGTGGGGTCTCACCAGAGCGAGCAGAGGTGCACAATCACCTCCCTCCACCTGCTGCCTACACTTCTACTGATTCAGCCGAGGACATCTTTGGTTTTCTGGGCTACCAGAGCCCATTGCCAGGTCACCTTGAGCTTTTAATCCACTGAAGCCCCAAGTCCTTCTCCCCAGGGCTGCTCTCAATCTGTTCTGTATTTGTGCTCTGCCTGTATCTGTGCTTGCCCCAGCCCAGCTGCAAGACCTTGCACCAGACCTTTGTGGACTTCATGAACTGAGTCCTTCAGTTCAGACACCTGAACCAACTTGTTGGACTTTAGTTTCTGAGCAAAAAACTAAGTTGTGCATATTGGATTAGTGCAACTGAAGATCAAATAAGGACTATGGTCAGACAACCAGCCTGGGAACAGCTACACCTGCCCTTCTTTCTGGATTTCACATGGAGATTATACTCAAAAGACTTAATTACATTAAAGCACAACATGTCCTCCACCTGTGACCCCATGCTTAAGGCCTCCCTTAAAATACTGTGGTTAAAACCTTCTCAATAGTAAAAGGAATTCCATGAGATTATTCACAGGAAAAAATCTGAATTTCCTTTTCAAGCTGGAGCAGATTTTTGTCCCACCTCCTCTCCCTTTGTTGGTATGCTTTGAGGAATCTTTTGTTGATCATGCATCTCTATTGGTAACATTTTGAGCCAGGACCCCCATATATGTACATCTATGTACAATTTTTAGGTAGGTATTACTCAGGTTCTAATACTTTACTCCTGCAGCCCTGCAGTGGATCATCTCATGCCCTTCCCAGGGGATCTAAGCACCTCACTCTACAGACTTAAAGAAGCAACCATATGTTCTGGGAGAAAACCAGTACTAATTAAAATTGTACTTTTAACTGGAATTTATTCTATGACTAAGGATAGAGAGCATACAGCCCCAGATGAATGCTGTGAGGTAAGACATGATCAAAAGAAGCTCCTTTTGTCACATCTCTAGGGAAATATTAGGAAAGTAAGTTTTCTCTGCTGTAAGAGTTTTGAGTTTTAAGCAACGTTGAAGTAATTTATACCATTACCACCTTGTAATTTTCCTGAGATTTAATTAAAGACTTGTTAAAATGTAGAATAACAAGAAGTCATTGAAGGAAGCTATTTTAAAAACACAACTCTCTTTTTGGATTATAATACAATCTTCAAATAAACTGAATCAGAAAGAGCAGTGAATACATGCTTCTGTTTAAATTTGCTTTCTTGTGTTGAATTAATCACATAAAAAAAGAAAGAAAAAAATGAGTAAGTTGGATAAAAATAAATTGAATTTTCTTCCATGAATGTCTGATGTTAAAAGATAATTTATTTTCTACTGACATAATTGTAATGAAAAAGTAAAAACTGTAGTAAGACATGCAGAAATACCCCAACAAATTGTGTATTAAAAATTCCAGATAAAGATTTGCTTTGTTGTATGTCTAAAAAATGCTAACTTTCTAGTGATTTAGTCAGCAGCCAGAGGTTTGCAGTTAACCATTGAAAAGTGGGAGTCAGAGTCCAGGAAAACTGAGCTTCTCTTTGATAGGAGAATGCTGCCACTTCCTTGGGGAACACCATGTGTGTGTTTGGCATTTGGCAGAACACTCTGAGAAGGAGACAGCAGAGTACTCTTTTGTACCCATGAGAATACATAACCTATCCCTCCTGGAAGACCTTGAGCTAAAAGAGTATGCTATTAAGCTTCAGACATTGCTGGTGCTTTTGATTCCTCAATACTTTATCTTATTTTTTCACTTGATAGTCTGGGGACCTTGAGGAAAAGCTGCTATTCTGGTAAGAGTCATATTTTGTCATAAATAATGGTCTACACCTTCAGCTGCCATGAGCTGGTGTAACTTCTCCAATTTGGTACTTGGATGTACATCCATGAAAGTTTACTTCCATTTCTCATAGATCTACATGGAAGTGAGACCTCCTTCCCCTCTCTTCTTGGCATGGTATCCTAGCAGACCATTTCTAGTCTGAAATCCTATCTTTGGTACAGGTAGCTGCCACCCATGTTGGGAAGTGAGTGGTCAGGGTATATTAAAAATTTGGGATGTCCTAAGCTCCCCCTCCCTCTGTGGATGGTGATACACACACAGCTGGGTGGAATCAGACACGTTTGCTATGCACTGTGCCAGATCAGGATTTTTACTGCCCTTTTCATGCCCTGCTTGTCTCCAGAGGAGCTCTCTGATGCCTCACTCAGCAGCACAGTTCCACTGACATTCTCCTGCTCTGATCTGACTGCTGCCCA